ATTATCTGGATAATCTATGCCCTACTATACATTTATTTCTACTATCTATAATTATCATTATCTATAAATCAAACTATTTCATTCCTAGTTTATTTCTTATTTTACACCATTTTTTATTTATTACAGGGACGAATATCGAAAAAAACAAAAAGTTCAAGTAAGGAGTTTAACCGACGCTCAGCTGAAGAATCATTCCGAAGTTTAGTTAAGACACACGACAAATATGGCTGGATAACACCTCCTTTGGCAGATGGTTAATATGGCTATTTCTTATTTTTGAAATAGTTGCAAAAATTATTTTATGTAATTTTTGAACTTTTATTGTTATGGTATTTCAGTTAGGTTTCCATCTTAAGTCAGTTTGATATACTGATTTTCATACAGAGATTGATGAATTTCAGTATTAACTTGTGATAATGATATATTAATGAAGGATAATTTATTATTAGTGCCAAAGTTTAGCTGTTATGATATATTTTGATGAAGTAGTTAAAAAAAAAATTCAATTCATTTTATTTTTTCCATATCGATACTTTTTAATTAGTATTATTTTTTATCCAAAAAAATTATTTTCTAATGATTTAATCATTTTTATTTTTGGCAGCTCTTTGGAAAAATGTTAGATGACTTTCATGATCTTGATAAACATTTTTGTGATTATATTTTTCCTTTCTTTAGTTCACAAACTATAGATAAATTAAGAATTTTGTTTTATGCAAACACTTGTGAACAATTAAAAAATTTTTAAGGTCCTCTTCAACAAGGCCCATCTGATAAGGTTATACTGTGTATTTACCAGATAAATTTCATCACTATAAGCTTGTTAAATAGCTTAAACCCTACCTATCACCCTGATAAATCTATATTTGTACAATATTTTTATTGTTTAATGATTGGTAGTCTTTCCTATAAATTCAACCTATTGTTTTACTAGTATTTGTGTTTTCTCAAATCATCAATTTGTTTATCCATGGGATTATTATTTTAAAAAATGGAAAATACGCACTAGTATTAAATGCAAACAATGTGTAACGTTTAGCTTATATATTTTCCAGAAATGCATACATACTTTCAGAAAATAGATAAATAACACAGTTATGTATGAATGTAAGATTACAGTAAACAACTAGTTTAATCACTTCAATATAAATTTAACTAATGGTTAATAATATGAAACCGTGTTGTAAGTATTAAGTATTTATCACAGTTAATTCAGTTAAAATAAGTTTATATGTTTCTCTCTATTAAAATGTGAATATAATTGTTTTTAAAAATCATGTTATCAGGCTTTTCCAGCATTATTGGAAAAGGTCTATGAAGATAGCTCCAGTGTAATTTGATAAGATCCTTTTGTTTTCCATTAAATCTTCTTGATTTAAAGAAGAGATTACAAAGGAAACTATGTCAGTTTTTTATATGATAAAAAAACTTTAATTTAAAAATATTTTAGATATTTGAAGTTTTTAGAAGTCATTTTGTAGAACTTTTAGTAAATATGTTGTCAACTTATGTCATTTTAGATTATTAGTATTCAAAAGTGGATTCCATGTAAAATAAATTGATGTATTATTAAAAATCAAAATTATTGTGTTGATACCTATTATTATATACATATGTTAGTAAAACTAGTAATTCTCAAATAATTCACTGAATGTAATTTGGATTACAAATTGTAAATCAATTAAATGTATAGATATTCAGCTAATTCAGGTGTTTTGAAATTGTTTTATAATCATACTACTATAGTGCTAAGAAAGTGATAAATATTGCTTAAATATTAATATTAGTGATAAATATCCCGTTTAAACAGATATCATAATAGAATTACATTTTTTTTCATTATTTCTGTTACCAAAGTAATATTTTGAATATTCTAAATACTAGTTAATTTTCTCAAAGAAGTAATCGTTCAAATACGAGCTAATAGAGAAGAAAGAATTTTTTTTTTATTTTTTTAGGATTATTTGGGGTTTTCTTTGGTTGCGTCAAATCAAAGATTGGGCTATAACTTTGAAAATTTGGTTTTGAATCAAGTTTTTATGGGCGAGAAATGAACCTGTTCAATTCTTAAAATCGATTGGGAGAGTTGGTAAAGAAATTTACAGTTGAATGAATGATGTTAGAAGAAATAAAGTCCTATTTAGACCACTAACATCACTGGTACTGCCTTCCTGACACCTTAAAATTAAATGCAACGCTACCTTATAAGATCTCCTTCTTAACATTAAAATCTATTTTGTAAAGCTGCTTAAATGTAAGTATTTTTATGCTTACATGTAAATAATAAATTTGAATTTATAATTAAACTTATTCCAATGTTTTCTTCTATTTTTTTCCACACAAATTAAAAATAAAAATGATCATAGTTAATAATGGTAGGCATTTCACAACATGATTCTTGAAAGGAAAACAAAATTTCGAGTAAAATACTTATCTAAAATATCAACTGCGGAATTAATAATACATTTATATAGCTGATAATGATCAACTACTTAGAGACTAGAGATTTTTAGAAGGAATTGATGATTTCATTTTATCAACTATTTCGAAGCATAAGAAAACAACTCAATTAAGGCCAGCAGATATCCCAATAAAACATAAATGAATTGTATGAAACCTATCAAAACATAGTTTGCGATGTAATCTTTAAATAGATTCAAAATTTTGATGTTTGGTAGTTGGTATAACACACACAAACTAGGACACTGGAATTACGGGTATGACTTATATGTTTCTAAGACTAAAATTTTATTTTGTCATATGGTTTTCCTTTTATAACAATAAAAAACTTAATGTTTTCCAAAATTCATGTGCTGTTATTGGAATCCACTTATTTATTTTTTTAAATAATATGTTATATTTATAACCAATACAACATAAGTGAGAGAAAAAATGTATTTGTTGATATTAAATAATTGAATTACTGGTAGTAAAACGATTGTAATTTGAAATTTAATGGTGATGTGCTGTAACTACAAATTAAGAAGTATGTAGTAAATATGTACTGTACAGGGTAATAGCCCTTGTTGCTCAATATCGACAGACAACCCTCCCTAAATAGCCAATGTGATAATTTTGTATTTAAGTAGATTTTGATTAGGCTAGATTTTAAATAACTGCATTTTGGCCTCAGGATAATAGTATGACTGAAGTGTTTTGTTTTAATAAAAGTTTAAGTTCAACAAATCAACAATATTGTTGGCTGCTTTTTTTATTGTTTGATAAATTTGAAAACTTTTGTAAAAAATATATATGTAATTCCATAATCTATTTAATAATGTGGTTGTGAACTGCAATTATCATTTAAATTCATTAACCATATTTCAGTATTTTTGTATAAATAACTATCAACATATTTAGTAGGTGTCACTTAATGTTTTTCAAATAATTGAACTATGAACTCAATTAAACAAATTGAGATTAATATATCCGAATAATAAATTAAAATTATACCTTCCAGTGTAATTAAATATGAACTCAACCCAATGTATGATATAAATGTAGATTACAATATATTGACATAATTGATTCCTATTCAAAATGCATTGTTAATCGTTTAATGCATGTAATTGTTGTACATTAAATATTCCAATAAACAAGGTGTCATGCTATTATTTTATCTATCATTTCCCTTTTCTAGAGCGTACCTGTGCAAACCTTGAATGATATTAATTTAAATAAAGCATATGGAAAAGAAATACAGGAATTTACGCAGCATTGTCGATTTGGAATCACAGAAGAGTTTACTGACAAAAAACCATTAACAATTTTTTTTTTAAGTATAAGAGATGCCATTAATTTAAGAGAAAAAATATAACTTTTTGGTAATGTTTATGCACGCGTTGGCAGCATGACACATTACATGCTAAGAATAATACTGGTATGTCATAAATGCGTTTTCCAATTCTATATACCACTAAATAGAGCTTGACAATAGCTTACATTCTTATGGAAAATTCTTATGGACTAAAACCACATGGTAATAAAAAAAAAAAAGAAATGTGCATCCACAGAAAGAAGAGTGAAGAATAAAAAAACATTTCATTTAACTATTGCCGAAATGGATGGAAGAAAATTATATATACCATCCACTCTCCCTAGGGAGAAGAGCTGCCACTGGCAGACTGGCCAACTACAGAAAGTTCAGAAGAGGTTGGTGCCCAAACCAAGAAGTGTTAGTGAACACCAAAGAGTTAGGTTAGCACAGCTCAGAAAAACTCAGTGCATTCCTCTGCAACTTCCACTGTTGCCAATACTCTTATTGCCTTAAGGTATGGGAAGACGGAGTGACATGGGGGTACCAACAATAATACTTTATAAATGATTTTTTCCCTCACATAACAAAAAAAGAGAAAAAAAGTTTGTGTCCACCCTAAGGATAAATCTCTGATAATCCTATAATTTGTCTTCTCATAAAGTGGAGCACATCCTAGCAGAGTTGAGTGAAATCCTGGGAGATGAGATGTAACCCAGAAAGGTTCGAAAAAACCTCTAGGAAGGGATTGTGGAAGATCCAAATAGTAAAAGAAGACAATCTGGAAGGATGAAGTTATGAATGGAGAGGGAGGTGGGTTATTAGGTGTTTCAGAAAAGGACTTTAAGAAAGCTTTTTTCATTAGAACAGTCAATTATTCAATAAATTAAGTATTTCAAGGATTTGAAATTTTAATATAAGTTAGAGAGTATCAGAGAAAAAACGTTTTTAATAATATAAAAGCTTACATTTCATATGTCATTACATTTTTTAAAAACTTCCACTTATAATCTAAGTTTTATATAATTTGAGTATAAAAAGGTAAAAAACACAGTATAAGGCAAATACATTTTTTTAAATCTTATAGTGCCTAATTGTTAATTTTTATAATAAAATATTTTAAAGCCTAAGCGACTAAATGAACACAATCTTTTTTATGCAGAAACAAATCATAAATTTATATTAGTAACAATACAATATATATATATATATATATATATATATATATATATATATATATATATAACTTCAAAATTAAACTAAATATACAACATAGTGCATGGACGGATTAGTTATACATTACAGTCTTTCCCATAAATCTATTACTTTTTTATGCATTACTATTCAAATACACATTAATGTAATACATATCACACAGCGAGAATAAAAGGAATAACATAAATTTTATTGGTTAGATATTAAGAATTATTTAAATAACATTCTTAAGATTGGTCAAACCTCAAAAAATCAGCCAAAACTACTAGACATAATAGGAGAACCTGAAAAAGAAAGATACCAAGGAGGTATGGCCGAACAATTCCATGTGAAACATAAACTGTGCCTGATGTTCATTCTCACAAAAACATATTTTTAAGAGTTGTGCCAATAATATCTTGCAGTGTGACATTTTCTTAAAGAAGACAAGAGGCATAGATATAAAACATAATTTAGTTTTTAAAGAATACAACAGACAAATGTTAATAAAACACTAAATATATAAATAAATTCAATACATTAAGATAAATATATGAGATTCTCAATCAGCACAAATAAGACAAAATGATCAATTAAAATTATTATAACCTTTATAAAATAATTTATTTTTTTATAACTATGTATTACTCATAAAAGTTCAGTTGTTTCCCATGATTGCCTGATCAATTCTATTCCCTGATGCATTTGTATAAAATATAAGGATCTCTTAAACTGTGCATACAAAAACTATCAAAGTAATGAGAAAAAAAGTGCAATTAAATTGCAAAATAAAAAAGAACCTATAAATTTACTAAGTGAAAATAATAAACAATAATTCTTCCCTATATATTAATAGACTACTAATAAATTTTATCCATTTAAATATAGTTTTAGATTAGTTAGTTACATCAGTTTGAAGATTAATCTTCAAGCATAAGAAACCCTTTGCTCATAGGCAGCATCAGACCAGTCACTGCGTTCTGGTCTAGGACCATGTCTTAAATGAAGAAATCTACCGCCATAGCGAAGAATAAGCATAATAACAACACCAACAAAAAGGACCAATATGGCTAACGGAGGCCAAAATATTTGAATCCCCATTATAGATCACTCTCTCTTTTATGAAGCTCTAAATATTCTTCGTTTTGTTGCTGTCCTACCCTCGCCTCGAATACTTCATGTACTTCAATCCCTTGTAATTCAAATTCACTTAAATCTAACGGTGGCTGTTTGTATGGAGTTCTTGTCCAGACAGGTGAAATCCACCTATTGCCTAAAAATAAATAAAATATAGAAAAAAATAAATCAGAAATGCACAACACAATAAGGACACAAATACAATTTTCTTGTAACTGTGTTTCAAGACAAAGTAGTTGTTTAATTTTTTTTTATTATACAACTCATGAAATAAACATTGTAAGATTTGACAAGATAACAAACTTAACCCACCTCATCCTCAATAGAACCACCACTATAAACATTATATAAATAGGCAAACACAAAACAGTTCAATCCCTTTTTTTCTTCTGTTTCTCAACCGATTTTAAATTTTTGTTTAGTAGCTATGTACAATCTTTAGTGTTATCAAAAATTAACAGAGTTTATAAATAAAAATGTAAATGTTAGTTTGTTGGAAACCGCTAATCCCCGAAAATTCTTTATTGATTGTTTTTATATACATTTCATTACCATCTGGCCTTTAGTTTCGAAATGATAAATGTAAAATATGTGTCGTTTGCAACTTTAGTGTCAATACGGCTGTAAATATAAAAATAAAAATAAATCCTCCATCCACTTCTCTAGTTCTAAAAATCTGCCCTCCATTCCTTTATATAGATCTCTACCATACATCCCTTTACTTTCTGATAAAATTAAAAAATCCTTGGGTTCTTCCATCCCCAACCTGTGAGTTGCTTTTTTTAAAAACTACAACAAACTTGCCAATATTTACTCCTACCTAAAAGACCCCCCCCTCCTCCCTCTGCAACATCGCTCAAATGCTGTATACCGCATTCCTGGCTCTACCGCCAATTGTAACTCTGCTTATATTGGGGAAACCAAAAACCAACTTAAAGACCGCATCAAACAACACAAATACACAATTACTTCCAAGAACTGTACTGCTTCTAAACTTTCTGAACACGCCCTATCCTCAAATCACACATTTGACTTTGACAACACTTAACTTAAAAACAGACAAACAAAACCTGTCCCTCGCCTATTCCCAAATTATCAACATTTTAAAAATTCTTAATCATAAACCACTATCAAATCTTCTTATGTCCATTTAGAGTTCCTTTTACGTTTTACGAGTTATTTGTGCGTGTATGTATATGTGAATATGCGTGTATGAATATATGTATATATACATCTATATGTGTATATATATATATATATATATATATATATATATATATATATATATATATATATATATATATATATATATATATATATATATATGTGTGTGTGTTTCTATGTATGTGTACTAGAGCTGTTTTTACACTGCCCGTGTTCAAACTGCCTCCCGCAGTGCCACATCCCACGGTATGTTTGACTTTTATTATGATTCTTTGTTAACACACCAATCCTTCAACTGTACACATTATAATCTTCATGTAGCCTACTATTCCATTAACTCTTTCAAAAAACCTGAATGTCAATGAACAGTACAACTTGTTTTCATCATCATAACCTTGTTTACATTTATACTTACATTCTAAATTTCTCTTCTTAAATTCTTTTTTTCTTATAGAGTTATATATATTTAATAAATGTATCCTAACGATATTATAACTAATGTTATCCAATTAATCTTTCAATTTCTTTATTTGTTAACTTTTAGTTCTATTATCTGTTAACCTACAGTTATCAAATGTAACCTCCACTAGCTTGTTAGCCACTGATATCATATTATTATGTTATCTTATTCTTATTTTAGCATTACTATATCAATACTTATTCAATTTTCAATCTCTTTATTCGTTAACGTTCGTTTTCTTTATCTGTTAACCTACAGATAATACAGCTCTATTATGATAAAGTTATAGTTGAAATATTGTTATAGCATGAGTAAAATGTTGAAATGAAACAAATTTTTACTGACCGAAAGAGGAAAGTGGGTTCAATTTTTTTTTTTTTTTATGTAATAATGGATTCCGAATGTTATTTGCGAATAACTTAAAAAGTACACAAATCGTACAGCACTGTTTTGTATTATAAGAACATATAAAAGTGTATGTATGAATATATAAGAGTAGAAAAAAAGATAATCTACATTCTACTGTACAGTATAATCTATTAATGCAACATTATTAACGAAATAACGATAATACGTTAGTCTCGAAAGTCACAAAGATCATTATTTAGATTGAAAGGCAATCGTGTTTATTTCTTCAATAAACTACAAAAGATTTCATGTTTAAAAACTTGAGGTGGAATAATTAACACATTAAAAAATGTATAACTGACAAATAGTTTTCTCCTAGGAGAGAACCTATCTTGACTGCTGAGAAATCAATTCAGGCTAATTTACAGCAGGCTGGAGCCAGTTATAATATCCCCCATGAAATAAAAAAAAAAAAATATTAAGCTAAACTAATAATATGGAATATTTTACCTGTATTACTGTCTTGCCAATAATATTTGTGCTTTGAACACCAACAAAAAAAAACGTTGAGAAGAATTAAAGCAAAACCAAGTATAGTACAAACTGTAATAGTTACATAAAAAGGAGTGAAATCTCCGTATTCTCTCTTACTATACAAAGGATTTTTCTTGTATTCGTATGGGTCATCAAGAACACCGGACATTCTAAGTTTCACATGGAATGACTAAAACAGAAAGTAAATAAAATAATACATAATCAGTTAATACAAAGCAACAAATATGTCAATAGTTATTTTAATTATTTCTACAGTTATCATATTCTTTTGTTCTAAACAATTAAAATGAGTTAATTTGTTTGTCAGCTTAAAATTAATATGATTGAAAGATATTTGGTAACTTAAATGTTAAACTACAAACAATTAAAGCTACATTACCAAATTTATGTCAATGCAAAAGATGTCCTTGCTTTCGATGATAATACATGATTATTTTAATGGATTTGCCCACATAGTATCAAAAGCTATGGTTGAGCACCTTTAAGGTAAACTAGCCATGCATTCTAATTATAATACATGACGGGTCATAACACAGTTAAATGGGTACTAGTTCACATTCACTTCGATCACACTTGTTCATGGAATCCCAAAAACAGCCGAATGTTGTCTTCTTTTATGACGTCAGCTATTGCCCCATCACACAATCCTTTTTCATGCATTTTTGAGAAAAAAAAAAAAAAAGTATTTCCTTCATGGAACTTCCTTACTAACAATTTATTAACAAATTGTATCTTTTATAACTGTGTATTAAAGATGTTTTTATCATTTAAATAATAAATAATTTGAAGTAATCTATTATCTTTTTATTTTTTATTCGAGTTTTAATAGAAATTGGAATAATTGTATTTATAATTTATTTTAGCAAGCCTTTTTTAGAATTACGCAATCGTCTATCTATTTTATGCAATGTTTTAAAGTTCTAATAATACGAGGGTCCATTCCACTATTTTCTAGTGGAGGGGGCACAAGAGATCAGTCACCTTCGTTCTCTTTCGGATTAACCCGAATGCATTCGGGATTCCATGAACAAGTGTGACTGAAGTGATTGTGAACCATGCGTGGTCCGTGCGGAACTCTTGTAAACTAGTACCATTAAGTGGTACTAAATTAACAAGATTTATATATAAATGACAAGTATTTATGTAAAGCATTAAGATATTAAAGCCAATAAGAATAGATAAATATTAATGGTGGCAGCATTTAACTAGATGAAGTCATTTGATTGATCATTTACCTACATTCAAATATATAGCATACTTTAAGAATTATTGTGAGGATATTCAAAACATATCCAGGTTTCTTGTGACAATGCAGAAACAAATTCTAAATGGCATTAAATATAAACGAAATAAATGAGGGTGTGTCATAATTAGGATGATGATAGTTTGGTACAATTAAGCTAATGACTGAATAGGCTATACACTCATAGATCAAGGCTAGAAACTTTTAATTTATCACAAATAAAAAATCTAAAGTAACTAAACCCCATTTTTATCATAAACAAACTATAAAATTTCGTATATTAAAATATAATATATGTACTCAAGTACAGATATTATATCGAAGGATACACTACTGAACTCATACAAGGAAATAATCATTGAAATAATAAATATCTTGTCACTAAAATCACAACCCCAAATTAGAATTCAAAGCACACAAACCTTACTTAAATAGTAAACCAGCACTAAATTATCACAACAAATAAGACACGCCCAGTAGAAAGTTACTAACTCATCAACCGGTGGTTGTTTGGCTACACTAGCGAAACTAGTGATTTTAGGGATGGGTCGGATTGTATGTATCAGATACTTTTATCTGATACTAAAAAAGTATCTGATACAACCAGTAGATACAACCAAAAAGTATCTGATACAAAAGTATCTGATGCTCACATGGATACAAAATGGTTGTCCAGACATGCCACATTGACATAAGAGAAATGTTTAGTTATAATTTTAGTTGTGCACAATTTTTTTAGAACTATCTATTCATTTAGTTTAATTTAATTAAATATTTATTTGTAGATAAATATATTCACGCTTATTTTTTTTTTTTTATGTAATGTTAATTTCAGATATTTTTATCTGATACTGCTATCGGATATTTTTATCTGATACTAGTATCAGATACTTTTATCTGATATTTGTATCAGATATTTTTATCTGATATTTGTATCGGATATTTTTATCTGATATTTGTATCGGATATTTTTATCTGATATTTGTATCAGATATTTTTATCTGATACCCGCATCGGATACTTTTATCTGATATTTTTATCTGATATCTGGACTAGATACACAGCGGTATACATACTGGCGCTTGGGCTTTTTAGTTAATATATAATAGTTCTAATGACTGTATAGTTATGTCAGGTACTAAGAAAATATTTACACAATTTTTTAAACAAAATATGCTTCATATTTGACAAAAGAATGGAATATATTAAATAAAAATATAACAAATTCATGCAGAGGAAATATTTTCCTAATACGTTCTTAAGAATTTTGTAACAATTAAAAAAATTCTTTATAGTTAAGTTTAACATACACACACACACAAACACATATATATATATATATATATATATATATATATATATATATATATTTTTTTTTTTTTTTTTTTTTTTTTTTTTTTTTTTTTTTTTTTTTTTTTTTTTTTTTTCTGTTTGTATTACAGACCATGTAGATCTTTTGCCACCTTAACAAGTATGCTCAATCTCTACCTCTCTTGGGCTATTTCTTTCCATTATCTGATATTTGTATCGGATATTTTTATCTGATACTCGCATTGGATACTTTTATCTGATATTTTTATCTGATACCTGGACTAGATACCCAGCGGTATGCATACTGGCACTTGGGCTTGATATCTCAATAATTGTATCAGATATTTTAATCCAACTATAATTGATTATTGATCGGGTTTGATATTTTAATACCTATTTGATACCTAATAAAACATACATTAAATATGTACCTATATATATTTTATTCCTTTATTATTAAATTTGTCCCTGTAATAAATATTTTACACCATTTTTAAATATAATAGTTCTAATGACTTTATAGTTATGTCAGGTACTATGAAGATATTCACTATACGATAGCTAAGTTTAACATACTCACACACACATATATTTCTTTTATTTTCACCGATCAATCTACATCTTGGGATTTAGATTATATAGGACTTGTATAATGTTTACAATACTATTATTGTATTCTTTGAACATATTAAATTACATATATAAATCATTTAATATGTAATATGTAAATATTTATCCACTCTTTTATTATTATTTTTTTCATTAATACAATATTATGACAACAAAAGTAATTTGTCGTTCATTTCAAATTTCAGTTAAAATTCCATAGTTCATTGTTGTTTAGTAACTATCTTGCTGTATTGGGACCTCATTGCTCATATTATGTCTTTAATATATCAGTATAGTTATGTAAATCCTTCTGTTATTACTTATTTTTTAGTTTTTTTTTATTGTAATATGCATTTTGGCCAGATGTTATGTTAATTTTTATGTACAATATTGTTATTCTCAAGGGACTTTGTCCCAGAATAAAGGTGATTCTTCTATTCTATTCTATATATATATATATTTTTATTTTTTCTGTTTGCATTACAGACAATGTAGATCTTTTGCCACCTTAACAAGTATGCTCAATCTCTACCTGTCTTGGGCTATTTTTATTATAGTAGGCAAAAGACCAAGTCGAAGGCCAAAAAGCAGATGGATAGATAGAATCAACAAAGATACAATAGAGCTGCGTGCAGATAAATGGCAAAAAATAGCCCAAGACAGGCAGAGATTGAGCATACTTGTTAAGGTGGCAAAAGATCTACATGGTCTGTAATACAAACAGAAAAAATAAATATATATATATAGAATAGAATAATCACCTTTATTCTGGGACAAAGTCTCTTGAGAATAACAATATTGTACATAAAAATTAACATAACATCTGGCCAAAATGCATATTACAATAAAAAAAAACTAAAAAATAAGTAATAACAGAAGGATTTACATAACTATACTGATATATTAAAGACATAATATGAGCAATAAGGTCCCAATACAGCAAGATAGTTACTAAAAACAATAAACTATGGAATTTTAACTGAAATTTGAAATAAACGACAAATTACTTTTGTTGTCATACCATTGTATTAATGAAAAAAAAAATAATAAAAGAGTGGATTAATATTTACTTTAAATGATTTACATATGTAATTTAATATGTTCAAAGAATACAATAATAGTATTGTAAACATTATACAAGTCCTATATAATCTAAATCCCAAGATGTAGATTGATCAGTGAAAATAAAAAATATATATGTGTGTGTGAGTATGTTAAACGTAGCTATTAAGAATTTTTTCAATTGTTACAAAATTCTTAAGAACGTTGTATTAGGAAAATTTTTTCTCTGCATGAATTTGTTATATTTTATTTAATATATTCCATTCTTTTGTCTAATATGAATCACATTTTGTTTTAAAAACTGTGTGAATATCTTCATAGTACCTGACATAACTATAAAGTCATTAGAACTATTATATATTAACTAATAAGTCCAAGACTAGACTAGATACCAAGCGCCAGCATGCATACCGCTGGGTATCTAGTCCAGGTATCAGATAAAAATATCTGATAAAAGTATCCGATGCGGGTATCAGATAAAAATATCTGATACAAATATCAGATAAAAATATCCGATACAAATATCAGATAAAAATATCTGATACAAATATCAGATAAAAGTATCTGATGCCAGTATCAGATAAAAATATCTGATACTAGTATCAGATAAAAAGTAGTAGGAAGGTCATGACCAACTACTGACCCATTTGTATCAGATACAAAAGTATCAGATAAAAGTATCAGATACAAAAAAGTACCCGTATCAGTTGTATCTAGATACAAAAATTTTAGTATCAACCCATCCCTAAGTGATTTCATTTTAAACCAATAAATTCATTCAAATAAGAAGCTAGTTGAGGAGGGAAATACGACAAAAAAAACAAAGATAAATGTTAACATATTGTTAATGTGTTTCAACAAACACATTATTAACAATTTAACACTTATATCTGTACTTTCTTATTTGATCGCACTCTCCCCCCCCAAACCAATTTCTTAAATTACATCTACAGTCAACCAGGTCACCACAATAACAAATTCTTCAAAACTATACTGTTTTATTCTACTAATTGTATCCAAAACTAAACACAAAAAAAAACCTCCAAGTCTTCTACTATTCATGTACCACTCCATTTTTAAGTGATGTTCTTATCATACATCCACTGCTCAAAAAGTTGAACAGCATCTGCGAGAGTTCATCTCACTCACTGTGTTAGATATTTTCACATTTCAAAAATTTCAATTAATTCTTCCTTTATCGGGACTCGGTATTTGGGATAATACACCTTATACGCCTTCCTCAATCACTAATATCTAGGGAACGCCTGGCTCAATGATGATCTTCCAAATACAGTTTCTCTTCACAAAATCATAATAAAGCCACAAATAACGCGTTCAGGTCCTGAGCTTCTTCTTATCGTTTTTCAAGCATAGTAAGTGTTATGCGTGCCTTTCTCTTCTGTTTGTATCCTGGTGATCGTATAATATATTTTTAAAGATGGATATGAAAACTGGAAGTAGTGCTTTACCTCTGTAATCACCACAAATGTACGGCTCTTCTTTTAAGACTGGACACTTTAGGCTCGTGTTTCAAGCTCCTGGAATATTATCCTTCTCCTACCGAGCTAAGAGTCCCCGGGAAATTGGTGAGATTGAGAAAGTCGTGTGTAAATC